ATATAGATATATTTAGATATAGATGTATGTATGTATTTATGTGTGTGTGTGTGTGTGTGTGTGTGTGTATGTATCTATCTATCTATATATACATATATGGTGACTCTAACTTATTGCAGTTTTGGGGTTTTCACTAAAACACCACAGCACTGAGATGTGTAATTTCTGAACATCCTTAAAATGCTTATGGTTGAAAATTTACCTTTTTGGTAAGTAAGGCAGGTGTGACTTGACACCAACAAGTCATAATGAATCTACTGAAAGAAACAATAACAAGTCTGTATGAGGGAAGGACACATTAAAATAGATACATCTGTCTAAATTTAAAGAGGCATGTGTACTGAATCCTAACTGTTGGGTACAAGCAGCTAAAAAACTGAAACCACTAACATTACCTCAGTCATTAACTTTGCTAGCAAGCCCACTCTCCTCTGAATATTATGAAAGTAAAGGGTTGGTTCAGTAGTTAAAAAATAGTTAGTTGACACCTCTGTTAACTACAGTAAAGGTAATGTGTTATATTAGCAAGCTACTGATACTGAACTTAAGTTTCTTATATTTGTCTTGCAGATGCAACATGTACAGTTGTGCCTGGTGTACATTGTGATCCTTTTTCCTCCCCTAAAATTAGTTATTGATGTTTTTACAACAATTTTAGAATGTTCCCGATGTCCACACACAACAATTTAATAATTACTGAAAATCTTGTGAAATATGCTTAATTCATATAAAATTATACTGATGTGAGATAATAAAGATAATTGCTTTGTTTGGTTACGAAAGCCATTAAAAAAATATGGTCTAGTACACCCCATGCCCCCTTTTAGACTCACCCCTGTTTGCTGATACTAACGCTTCCATGTAAAATAGCACGGTTATAATAAATGTATATTTAAACATGTTGTCAGATAGTGACAGATGAAGCCTCATGGAGACTTGTAGCTTTCCATTTAAATGATTTTAAAAAAAAAAGGTTAGTTTCTTAAGGCTTCATGTGTAAACATACCCCCCTGCTGGTCAAAACCATTATTGTCATTTCAATTATTTGTGACGTCGTTTTGGCTGTCATGCAACAGTGTCAACATAGACGTAATCACTGCCTAGAATTAAAAAACAAAAAAAAACAACGACTCTAATTTGATTGTATGTGGCTCATTCATTTATCAAAAAAAACATTTTGATTGATGTGCGGTTGACAGTAGTAGAAGTCTATCAATGTCAAAAACCTTGTCAGTATGATTTCAGTATATTTTTGAATAAATCCAATCCAAATCCATGACATGAGACGTTGATGTTAAAATCACAGTCTTTTCAAATGATGAGACAGTGATTGTGCTAATGAATACTGTGCGGATGTTGACTTTTATCATTTTTATCAAGATATTATATTTTTTCCACTGTGCTTAGACTCAGTTTCTCTTTTTGCTAATAACCACTCTGGCTTTGGAGAAACCGTTTCACATTCTACTGAGAGGCAGGAGTGCAAAACTATCCCACAGTAATCTTGCCTAGATGATACCCATAGATGCAGTGTTGTTGCCATTGACACACAATTAACACTTCCCAATGGAATGAAAAAAAGAAAACAGACTTGTGTATATTATAGTAGTAACACATTTCATTATTTACAGGCATATTATTTGTAATACTTTATTGGTAGAGATCACCTCATGGGTGGAGCAGCTCTTCACCTCTT